ATGATGTTCGATGTGGGTTTCACTCCATGGGTGATCGTTAATTCCCCACTGTTTGTGTGCTTTTTAATGCGATCGAAATGTTTGTGATAACCAAAAAAGAGCACTGGACCGCTCTTTCGTCCTGCTTGGGACTCGTCAGCAATGCGTACTTTTTGTGTTCCNTCAGCAATGCGTACTTTTTGTGTTCCTGTCAGGACTCGAACCGCTCAAGGATAAGGGTTTCAAGTCCCAGGCTGAATAATCGCAGTTCGAGCCCTGAAAGGACACAAAATGTACGCATTGCCGGCGAGTTCCAAACACTTGTCCATTGCTCTTTGTTGGTTACCACAAACAGTTCCATCGCATTCCGAAAAATATTTGTTTCTCATCTATACAATTAAAGCCGGAGTAACGTATTTTCAACATAATACCTCGGATACTTTGTCAAATTTTACTACCGTATGTGTTGGTTGATATTTTCGGTCATTATTGCATTGCTGAAGCAGACATTTTATGTTGCTCTAGAATGTTCCATGCGTCAGAAAGATATCCTGGTTGTGCACTTGATAAAGCACCTCGGGAAAACGGAGACTGAAGTCATATTTTCTGGGGGTGGGGGTCTTTCCCGTCTGTTTGGTTCTCAAAAATTGCCAATCTCAACTGCAAGTTGGCATGTTCGAATACATGCCCGCTACATATTTGTAGACAAGCATTCATCCTAGAAGAATCCCACTTCCAAAGAACTAAATTGCCAATCCACCAGTGCTTGCTGGAGATCTATAATTAGACATATGTACTAAGTCACATAGTGCTGTGATAGCATGATTAAGATGTCCTGAAGTTGAGCTTGTTTGCCATTTGATGATTTCATTAGACATATAAATATATTTATCCATGTTCTACGGATAACATTAACACACAACAAAATTGCATACTATAACACAACAAATATGCGGTCTTGATCGGGTTGACTGGTTACGTTGCGACACCTTTCAGGGAAACACGACAACTAAGTGAGAGGCTTTTTAGAACCAAATTATACCATGACAGAATTGCGAGCGGAAGGTGCAATGTGCACCAATACAATTTGATGGATAGAAGAAGCACTCTGGTGTCATTTTCTAAGGATTCCATGTTTTTAATGTATTCATTATGGAAGATCCCAAAACTGCTTGTGGGTACAGCCGAATATAATGTTGAACTACGTCTTCTAAAAGCTTCCTGAAAATATTATCGACGGTTCTGAAGTAGACCAGAAACGTTTACACAAATAAATTATACTTACCGACTACAGGCTGAAAACAATGATTTTGTTTTTCAGACTATATCGCTCCGTTTTATATCAAAATATAAGGACGCAAGATACAAGTCTAGTGCTTTTATCAAACGGTATACGGATTCGGGTCTTGTAAAGGTTGTACGAACCGGTTTGCAGCCGCTAACCATTGGTCAATAGAGAAAAGGAAAACAGAATCAAACAACTGCCGAGAGTATCACAGGTCGCATAATTATGTTGGCATTTCCGTTACGTCCTTGTTATGTGCTCTTCTTATTACATAATTCGCTGATACCAGCTACAGAGTATCGCGTGACAACACAAGTCGGAAAGCTTTGAAGCTGATTTGAGAACCGCCATGCGGAAACAGGCCGTGTGCTTCAGTAAACATGCGATAATTAAGCAAACAAAGAGTTGTTTTTTATTGCTTTCTGATCATGCCAACCAGACTGAGTAAAGCGGACCCTCCCACCCGACCTGTAGACAACTTGTGAGGAAACGAAGCGGCTACTGGAAAGGCCAAACAACATCAAAATACTGGATAAATAGTTTTAGGAGCGGCGAACGAAAGGCAAAAACTTAACGGTGCACTTGTTTGTTGTTATACTTGGCAGACACATCTTATGGTCAAATTTAACAGTATTGTCGAAAATATACATACAACTACATTGAGGAGGACAAATAACATTTATAAAGTAAATCTAACTTAGTGGAAAATTTTCTTGTGTATAATTGCTCGTTTTATGACTGGGAATTTTGTACCCAGTTTCATCGATACTCTGCTGGTGAACCAAGTGTCATACGAGAAATACTCGTCCTCAGTGCTGTTTCAGCTAGAATTTGACTTGCATAACTGAATTTTTAAACTGTGAATCTGACACTTAGCGCCTACGTAACGTGTGAGCTAATTTACTTATTTTTGTGGCAGGAATGGTCACTGGTTGTTGGGATATGAGTGCGGATAGCAACGAGAGCTACTACAACAGGTCCAGGCTAACTCACTTGCGGACGTGAATTTTCATTGATTTAGAGCACTCAGCATATGAAAGATTATGATTAAATAAACCAAAGAAGAAATAATCCCAGCCAAGTTAAAATAATATTTAATGCATGTGAAACGAACAAGCACCTCTTCAGAAATCACAGAACTTCCTAGTTCATAGTTCGTACCCAAACATTGGTGAACAAACATAGCACACACGTAAGTCTTTTGTGGAGAACATGAATTACCAAACAGGGAAAAAATCAAATCTGTTTGCTAACATCTGGAGGTTTATTTTACACTGTGTAATTCTTATTGTTTCGTAGCGCATGCCAATATAATAACAATAATTACCACCAGAAAACCCATTAAAAGTAAGAGGAAGGAGAATTCACAGATAACGACACATAAGGAATCCGTTTACTGTCGATTAGATCCGTTTTCATTTGGTGTATACATAAACACCGATACGCCGATGATCACCTTCTTTTTCTCATTGTAAATTGCTCCGTTATATGAAGCCACGCTAGACAAAATAGTAATCACATTTTGGCCGCTTACTGCCAGCATTTTAATCAGGTGAAATAACCTTATGACGAAAGTTTTGTTTCAATGAAACAGTTTTGGAGAACAACTGAATGTCCGCAGCCTGAGCTGTTTGGCGCGAAACTCCACGTGACTGATTAGAGCCATCAGCCATCATGGGGTGAGGTAGAAAATTATGAATACCTTAGGAAAACTAAGTCATATAAACAAGTTGAGCTTCGGCGTAAGACTTATTTGCAAACAGTGGCTTATTCCCAAACATTCGCTGCATCCATATACATTAAGAGATTTATCAATTCAGTTCGTCACTAAAGCCTCGAGTAACATGGTGGGTGAATTTTCAACACAATATACAACTTACAATCACTCCAGAAAACAATACGGCAAGAACGATGAAAAAAGAACTATAAAATTTCAAGTAAACCGTGAACTGACAGAGTACATAGAATTTAAGAGGAAGAGGAAGATAGCTATGCTTCGAAACACTCAGTTTCAAGAAGCTGAATGTAAACCAGTTGCAGACGTTTGTCTAACAGTCCAGTGGAGAACGAAAGAAAGAATGCTCGCTGTACGGATGGACGATAACGACATCTACATATTTGCAAAAGCAATTACTTGAAATAATTATAAATTGTCGTCGAACGGAGACAGAACAGCTTCATGAAACGCAGCCAGATTGGCGAAAATATTCGGAAATTCATAGGGTTGCATGATATAATTTCGGTTTAGTTTGTGAAGCAGTCACGTAAAATGATCAAGACATTTGGGTAAACGTTACAGTCATGGAAGAGATGCACTGAGGCCCCCTAATTCACGTAAACAAAACATAATCACGAAAGAAAAATTAAATATTACGAACAAAACACATCCAGACACGATTGGAATCTTCCCTGGGAATAAAGGTGCTCTTAAAAAGGCTCCAAACACCACTAATTTGGGGTCGTACAATCAAGCATGTGACCGACGCTAACAAAAATTCTTCATCACACCTTTCGATAAGCAGGTTGTAAACCGATCCGGACAGCAAAACTCATCGGTTTCGAGTATCTTCAGATTTGTCAGGAACCCAGTAAATCTGATTACTCGCTAAGTACCGAAGCACATACAGAGGAAAAAAGAATACTAACTTCGGATATGACCGCAAATTTGTTATTCAGCTCTTTAGCTTCTGGGTGCCGGTTAGGTCGTGTAATACGGCGTTATTTGAAGATAACCACATTTCCTAACAGCTGTTTATATCAAGAATAGTTTTAATGCACGGGTGTTGGAGTGGTAAAATATAATTTTGGATAAATAGATATAGATAATCTAGTGCGTCAAGCCTGCCAATCACGCAAACCCGTTCGTTCATACACCGAAGGTGTTGTGCAAGTGGAGAGAAAAATTGATCGGTAAAACGACAAGCGATGTCAATAGGATGGTAAAAATGCAACGAATTTCCAAATAATCCAAAAGATGTTCATAATAGAAGGAAATATGACAGCTGTTAAAAGATTGAATACCTGTCCGTAAATCAGCTGTTTCATTGCTGATCAGGTTTGGGTTGTACTGTTTGGTTTCCTGATAATCCAAGATGAAAGCTGAATGTGTTTGAAATGTCTAGTTTTGCAGTAGTTCTTGGAGGGAGTGGGAAATGAAATAGGACAGTAGTCAGAAATATTCATGCTAGCCTGTTTAATTTTCCCTTTGTGAACGAAGTCTAGTTTCATGTCCAGCTGATGGGAGAAGTTTGAAAACATAAGTGGTTCATTGAGGTTGTAACGGAACGTGTTCTGTCTGGTAAAATCGGCAGAAATGTTTCATCGATCAGATTGTAGACAGGAAGCTAGATGGGCGCAAAGTGAGCAGAAAACGTTCAACCTTCTACAGATTAAAAATAATCATAATTAGTCGGAAAAAACGATTAACACATCTTATTGGGATTCACAGCGGGTTTCTACGAGCCCTTCCGATCCACGTTTATAAGAATAAAGGGGGATTTTTATTTTACTTAGTTATTTAATACTTAGGATTTAATTATGGAATTTAGGATCGCCTTTGAGTAAATTACCAAACATTGTCTTAAATTGGAATATAATGTGCATTTTTAATGTTTGACATCGAGGTGCGCGGCAAAACTAAAATGGAATCTAATGTTTCGTATATGTACGCATAAGTGACAACGATACGGTGGATATCGGGCTTATTCATAGAAATTTAATTAAACTCATCCGGCTATTAAATAACTTGATCGATTACCTGGAACATGATGCCCTCGCCATGCACTTCAGCTGATAAATTGTCCCGCTCTGTGGATCGAATTGTAGCCGATTTGTATCCACTGTCTTGTGTGTTCTGAGTCAAACCTAGTGAGGGTGGCTGGGGCGAAACGGACAAGTAGCGGGTTTTGGGATGAAACTCCGCACCCGATATCTCGTTCGTGACAACCTGTGGCGGCTTTTTCTGTACCGATGCAATTGGTTCAGCCGATTCCGTCATATGTGTGGCACGATCAATGACAACATTGTAATCATTCAGCGCATCCACAACCTGAGAATTACGCGTGTTCGACCCTACCGTTACAGTACGAGGACCGGTTTCGAACATATCACACGGTTCCCGATGGACGGCAGTTGAGACCGACCGACGTTGTTTTTTTCGTGACAAAAGACGACTGATACGGCGCTTATCGGTCGTCCGAGGTTCGTCTTTTATCGGAGCCGGCACAGTGCCGATCACTCTGCACTCCTCTTTGGGCCTGCAGCTGTGCAACGAGTTCACCTGGATGGCTCGACTGTCCGGAATCACCATACTGACATCTTTGATAAAAATGTCTGAAAATGGAAAAGATTGCGAAAAACAGCTAGTAAAATTTGGTTCCATTTTATTCGCGAGTGCTAATGATTGAAACAATAATTGTCTTTGGTGCCATATAGCAGGAAAGAAAAAGTATTAAGCAGGGTTAACGGGATTTATTGTGCGATAAAGGAACCGTGTTTGTTCTCAAATCAGATCTTTCGTTGAATTGGTTCTGTTAAATTTGAAGAAAGACTGATTTTTAATAGCAACAGAGTTCAACCACTAAATGGATAACAAAACCATAGGACATACGGTAACTTTGATCAAAATCTTTTTATTACTGACGCATAGGTAAGTACATTGCTCAGATCGATATACAGTAATCCATGTACGGACGGTGAGTTTAAAGTAAAAGAAGAAGCATCTTAGAAAAGCCCTGGTTGAGAAAAATGATAACACATTAACTTCGGTATCACTAAGTACACATATATAAAATTTATTAACTCACTTTCAAAAATCTGATCAATACACAATATAGAGATAAATCTAGCGCCCTCAGAAATATATTACTTTCTAAATAACGGTGTTAAAATTCGCTAACCTACACATTATTCAGCCCCAAAAGGCCGAAATTCGTAATAACTGTCTGGATGCAAAACAAAATCAAGGGAATAAACTTTGTAATAACTTAACTTCATCATATCAAGTAAAAGCACAAGAAGCGGAATGGAGATGCGCCCAGTGAAGCCTAGCTTGTGGTAGTCAAGCGATTGAGCTCATCTTGAAAGCAACCTAGAAGTTCTGGGTTCGAATCCTGCCATCGCTTCCACCACCAATCTTCCTAATTTCTGTATGTCTTTATGCTGCCTTTGAAGACCACTGCCCTGTTTGTTTCCCTCTGTGGATAAGCTACTGTAGCACAACTGAATCTTTTTCGAAGAAAAAAAGTAATATATTTGTGCTCTGGAAAATAGGTTATCTTGGGCAATTTCGGAATTTAACCCGTACGAAAGAGCGATGAAAGCGATAATATTTGAGTGCAACGTATAGTTGTTCGTCGCGTTCGGCAATCAGGTTGCAAGTGTTGAAATATCAGGAAGGGATGACATTCTTAATGAAGTATACGCAACTGCGCTCTCAATATGTTGTTATGAACGACAACACACCAGGGTCAACATAGAAGTTATGCGAATAGCAGACGGCAAGCAAAGAGAACAGTACCTCCATTGGGGGATACATTTTGATGACCTTCGCGGTGCTATCTATTGCACCAATCGATCCACACATTGGTGTGCATATATGTCAAACCAAATATGGCCTGAAATTTGTCCTCCTATCTGTCCCAGTTCATCAGTAATGCCCATCCCAATTTAATTCATAACAGACAGTTTCAAGAGTTTTAAATGAGTGCTCCATAAAATACAGTCCATAACGTTTATTCTAAATCTGTTAATGCACAAACGAGGAAGTGTTTCTGGACAAGAAGACATGAATTCATTTTGCAAGGGAAACATTACTAAGGAGAACATTGACCGAATGCGTCCGAATATTAAGTAGCGAAAAGAGGAAGCTCCTTTAAAAACGTAATAAAACGCAACAGCCTTTTTACGTCGAACACAGTGAGATTTTGCGAATTCCAACTATGGTCCACTAAGGAGACACTAAATATATATGATCTTAGTCAGCCTTAAATTACATCTGTTCACAAAGGAAAATCGCTCAGTTAAAATTCACCTTATGGGTTTGTATTGCGGAAGGTCGTACGTCAGAGGAACGTAGATACACTTTTACAGTGTCATGCAGCTTAGATAAAATATCAACTTTATTCAGTCCCTCGTTTCGCTTTCATAAGAGATATGCACTGAATCTGTTTCCAGATGAACTCTATAAACTTAAAAACATTCTAAGGGGAAACAATTACAATGAAACTTTCATCAAATAAATTCTGAAGGAAGGTCAGAAATACGAGCCTGTTTGAAAACACCGAAAGAAAAGCTGTTTATCAAACGGTCATTCAATGCGACCTTTGACGCGAACTGTGACAAAAGCGCTTAATGCATTCGGTTTTTCACACCTATTCACTGGTTAAACGATAATAAGAACAACTACTAGGACACTGGCCTCATCTGCTAGTATCGATTCTTTCGGCTGAGTTTGTTACGCAGTCTGCGTCAGCAGAACGAGGAGGTAATCGTCCCAACCCAATACAGACAGCACTGTCTACCATGATATCCTCACAGCGGAGAAACGTGTTAAGAGAAGCGCTAATATCCCGCACGAGGTCAGGTCACCAAGTGAGACTTGGATAAGCATTCAAATTTACCCGTGGTATACCAACTCACAAATCTGAATGATGACGATGATAACAATATGAATAGCAGCACGTGAAAACCCCAATGAGCTAATCCAAACATCCGCCATATAAGCAATAGCGGCAATTCAACACATACTGATTATAACCACCGAGAACGACAAAGACAACTGCCGAATGATCTTCATCGGACTTTACACAAACTTATCACGATTGAAATGTATTGGCATGTGGACAGATTTTGGAACTTCGGAGAAGAAAAACCCATACCATATCGGCATTAAACAGCCGCTGAGATCACGTGGACCATACAAAATATTACCAAAATCAATTCTACTGGTGATCAAGTAGTACGAAAAGGCAAACGATTGACCGCATCATGTAAATGTGGAAGCACTGTACCAATCAGCAGGTTCTCTAATCACAGGAATCAGAATAATTAAACTTGAAACATTGGGTCCCCTTTATCAAATTCGTTAGAACCGATAAAAGACAAATACTGCGAGATGTTACCATTTTTATTTAATCTCCTCAGTTGCTAAAACGTAAAACAAGCTGGTATTTATACAATGATTAAAGTAACAAATAAAGTAAATACGTTTTGATTTTTTTGGTGCAGTTTGTTTCATGAAGTACAGTAACAATGGTTAGAACTGATGTATTCTTAATGTTTTCTTGCTTCCTATTGCTATTGTACAGAGCTATGAAAATGACAGCTTTGCTGGCGCATTTGTTTCTATCGCACCTGTGCAGGGCATTACGTAAACGTTGGTGCGGTAGACGCGATCGTTTTTCTACGAGACCGTGAAAGGTCGGATGAATCAGCTCTGTTGATCAATATGTGATTACCTACTCCGCGTCACAGTGCATTAAACACACACTGATCAATCGGTTTGTGGTGGGTTGCTCGTTACTCACTGCCGATCACGTGACACACCGGGACATTTACGTAATGCGCCATACACCTGAGATAAGAAGTGCAGTTTGAGGCTGAGAACCACTATTCTGATCGCATTCTCCATTTACATATGCGCATCCACTTACAATGATGTGATATGCAATGAATGTAATACTTCGGTGCCAGGGTTTCAATAAACTACTTTCAAGTAGAATCGATACTCAAAAGTAGTATTATTTACCCAAGTTGATATGACGTCATTGCTCATTCTCAATCTACAGACCAGTTAAAAAGCTGGCCAATTTCGCTCTTTCAAAGGAGTGTGTGGAAACGATTCATTTTTTAGGATAGAGTGCATTGTTTATTTACCAAACGCATTTTATAAAAGACACCTCAATTGAATAGTATCATGGATAGGTGATATATGACATCTATTGGTACTTAATAGGTAACAAAGAACTGAGCCTCTCATTCAAACATAGTGGTAATAAGCGATTCTAAAAATCAGTGAAATGCCAGTAAAGCATAGAAGAATAGACTGAGTTACTTGTGACAATCACAATGGACGTTCTGCCACAAATGAACCGCAGACTTAATCACATAAAGTAGGTTTGTTAAAATCTTTCGAGATTACTAGACATCACATCATAACCAGTAACACTGAAGTCGATTTCATTTCTGTGATGAATAGCGGCATTCGGGAAAAGTTGTCTGAACCAATAAGTGGCTCCAGGTCAACAAATGGGGGACTGAAACCCCAAATTGGGATTCTAATCATAAAACAACGATCAGACGAGGTGACGTGCAACTGGCTGCAAGCGTGATATGTGCAAAACTTCATCACAACATAACTTATTATTAAGTTTACCAATAACTGCACATAAACCTGGAGAGAATGCAAAACTATTTCTCAGTACAGTGGATCCCAAATACAAACTAAGTTATTCGTTCAATCTCAGTCTGATGAAAAGAGGTACGGACTTTGGTCCCGACACCAATAAGGATGAAAAGCTTTTCTTTATCTTTAACAAAATACAAGTAATAAATAAAACATCTTAAAATTTTGGTTTAACGCACTCTAAACACAAAAAACCATAAGCTGGGAAACACTTTTTATTATAACCAGGTAACTCAAGTTTTTGGATGTCTGGAACTCAATCCTTTTGTTAATCACGAAGTAAAGGATTCGTCGGTTTCACTCTATGATGAAAATTCTTGTAGAGAAAACAATTACCAACATGCCAACATCACTAGAAACCTGGTAGGGGCGTACTTGGATGATAAGTCTGTGGAACCTTTCGGATATGTCATCAGAACGTTTTACAGCAAAACACAAGAAAACAGTGGATTTGTCAGAAAAGCAAGTGATTCAGTGATACACGTCACTTCTCCATGTTGGTGAACAGCGATCCGGCGCACCTCAGCAGAAATTTGTACCAGCACTCTGATCCGCAACACGTGTGAAGCAGACACTTGAGGCTTATCTTTGAACCAGTTCGTCGTCAATAAAAATGGCGATTTTAATTAAGTTCAACTCGTCGTGAGATACTTCACTTGTAATGAATACTTCATGGTGTTTCTAAATCTCGGGAGACTTCGAGAATTCGCCCCCCCCCAANAAAAAAAAAAACATCCGCAAAAGATACTGTAAAGCAACCAATATCACACCTTATTACCATTACAAATCGGAAGACATACAGTGAATGGTGAACCATTTCGTTAAGAGAATCGCACTTTGGGCGACCAACAAAACGGAGTTTAGAACCCTTGAGATGGACTCATCCATTGTTCTACATTTCATTTCCGAAGGACTCTTCA